GGAGTTTTACATTAGGCTTTTGGCTCACATAATATTTTTGTTCACTTCAATTTTCTCTCCGATACTATAACTTTTCAAATAACAATTTCTGCCAATGTTATTGAAAACATGACTAAAATTTATAATAATATACAATACACGTATATACTAGCAGAAAAAACAGATATACTAACTGTATGCTAGTATATAATATACAAGTAACACACAAAACTAAAAATCGATAATTTGTTTGGACTTTATTTATGAAGTCAATCGCGATTTTAGTTTTTATTTCACTTTTCCTAGTTAACTAATATATCGGTTGACACATGTAATATATAGGTGTTGCGTATAAATATATAGCTAGTTAAATGCGATGGGGTTTATGTCTAGTTTATGTTATATAATAAATATACTCGCAAAATGGACTAAAATACTCGTGACATACTGTATAGTACTGTAGTATTACTAGTCGTTTAAATGGTATTAAAAATGTGATGACAAATGAAAAGTCATTTTTGTTTTCACTTTCGCATCCGAAATATTTTATATTTAAATCTGTGCCGAGAAATATATCCTAAAAATTTTTAATATTAAATAATAAATGAACAAAAATGCTGTTTACGCGTCTGGCAGCGTAATATGTATATATATATATGTTTAAATGTTTAAGCTCACATAATTAATGAATGTAAATCTACATGTATATTTCATTTTCGTATATATGATACTAGCATATATAATTTATATAAGTTATATAAGTATATATCATTTACCAGTAGTGTTACCAAATAGCTGTGCATTTCAGTCATGAGTCCGACCTGTTGTGCCTTAAGATTAATGAGAAATCATAATATCATACATTTTTTAATATTATTAAAAACAAAGTGAAAAAGTCTAAGCAATACATAGCGTATAGGCAAAACAAAATTGCGTGAAAAAGCATTAGCGAAAAGATTTATTACTTGTTTGAGCACTGAATACATATTCCGTTTCTTGACGTCCAGGACTATATTAAACTCGTTTTCGGATTTAATTTTCCAAAATGTATCCCGATAGGGTATACCCGGCTGAAACTGGTATAATTTGATTACCCAGTTACGTAGCTGGGCCTCTTTGAAAAAGTCTTGCAGTCTTACGATTCCTGTGGTATTGTATTAAATAACGAGTGAACAAAAAGGCAATTATATTATTGTTATTATATTATTGTCCGACAATTAGATTAATATATGTTTTTTGTTGCTTGTTTTTCGTGCCGTTTTTGCTTTTCATTTGTAAAATCAATTAATGGAGTGAAAGCGAGAGAGAGAGAGAGAGAGAGAGAGAGATGGGAAGCAAATGGCATGAAAGCGATTTGATGTCGACTTTACGGCTCACAGAAAATCAGTTACTATTGTGTATAATACGTGTAGACAAAAGCATTTGGAGGCAAAACATTCAAAATTAATGCCAATTCCTATCCCCTTATACCCCTATCCCTTAAGTTTTCTACAGACATATTGTGTATTATTGTGTTAAAAGGCATTAAAGGCTTCGGCGAAAAACGGATCGTAATTCCCATAAATTTTTAATGAAAACGAAACGGCAATAGAATATGTAATACAATGTTATATACACCCGTATAGTGTATGAATTGTATTATACTTTAATGTAAAGTAAATCCAATACACGGATTGCTAATGCAATGGCTCTTACCCTACAAGAATTGGTCTAATAAAATGTGATTCCCATTAGATTCCTGTATATATATTCTGTGTGTATGTGTTATATTGTATGTATGTATGTATGTCTGTCACTCGCCCTATCCCTGTGTTTATAAGCCGTGTCTTTCAGATGATATATAATATATAAATAAATATATATTTTCTTTTCACAGTTATAACAGTTATATAATACACGAGAGCCCTAAACCTGAGGCCAAAATAAAAATATGTATTTTCGCCGTCAAATGTAGTGAAAGATATTTGTCGGACTTAAACAGACTGTCAAAGGCTTTGACTCCGAGAGAGAGAGAGAGAGAGAGAGAGAGAGAGAGAAATATAAAACTAAAATCAATGACACAAAGGTATTGAACATGACTTACGGATTTGCATCGCATGTATAGATATATAACTCAAAAACACTTTCACTTAATGCTCAGGGAATATACGGTATATAAGTTATACCATATATACAAACACATACAGAATATTCTGTGTGTACGGCAAAAACAAAATGCTATCTAAGTATATATAAAAGTCTAAATATATTCAAAGCCATCAAACAATTCTGGCGTTTATGTCGTGTGTGTGCGAAGGGATAGCCATAAAAAATAAATTGGCTTTTATGTGATTTTATGCCTACCATTCCCAGTGTATATATCATATTATGGTGTTGATTCGCGAGGGAATGGGATGTAAATTGAGTCATACCTTCATTGTCTTCGTAGAGAATCACGAATTTATTCCAATTCCAGGCCTTCACCAAATCCACATAAGCCTTGGCGAGCACCTGGGGCTTGGGGTACAGGTTAATGGACAGGCCGTCCTTAATCACCTGGAAGTCCCATCGGGTCACCACGTGCGGGATGTCCATGGCGTCGCAAATGGACTGGACGTGCCTGGATATAGAGCCCTCCAAGGGATCAAATATAGCCGCCACTCCACTCCTGAGTAGACCGCACACTGGGTATGCCATGGGGTGGCCAGTCGTATGACATATACAACAAAAATAATATATACATTAATTTTAATTATGTTAAAGTGCGCCGGATTAATTGCCTATCTCAAATTACTAGTATATATTGTTTATACATGTCTCTCATGAATGAAAAGCGCTAAACATATGTCACTCATAGCATGCCATTCAATATAACTAACAGAATATTCTGTGTTATTCTGTGATATACTCTGTGTGTGCGCTAAAGCGACAGTAAATATAATGAAACACAAAAAAAGAGTGAATTTAGTTATTAATGGTATGTGTCTGTCGTATATAAGCAATGAAAGTAAATAAATATGAGAAAAATAAAGTCGTTTTTGTTTTCATACGACCGACAAAAAAACTACTCTTTCTTTTCGTGTCTAATAATTGAGTTATAACTGAAAAGATTGAGTTTTTTGGCGATGCTATGTATAACACGGGATAGTAGTAAATGGTATACAAGTGTTGGGTATAAGTCTTAGTGTAGGGGCTGAGAGACACTAAATATGAGACCTTTTTTGTCGGCGTGAAAGCTGTCTTCCCTCCCGATCCGCTCGACCTGAGCCACGAGCGTAGACTTCGGCAAAATGGTGGGGTCGGCGTTGATCCTCTCGATGGCGAACCTGAACACCAGCTCCTGTTCCTCCCCGTCCTCGCCAAACAGACCTCCTGTTTATGACATATATAGACATATATATCGTAGGGATTTCATGAGATATTTTCCGCAGACTTGTATTGATTTTTACATTTCATACGCTCTAATGAGTCATTAATTTTTATTACATCTAATAATTATAATCATTTGCTGTGTGTTTGAAAATCTACAGTACTATATATATATAGGCCATAAATCATAGCATTTTTCCAGAATTTCACAGAATTTTTCCACTCCTATCCCATGATTCTGTGGAGAATTCAATTTAATTTATATATTTTTATTTATCGTTATATACGATATATCTATATGTCTGTGTCTCCCCTTTTATATATCTATATTTATTATTATATATATATAATGCTATATCTTAAGCACAGATTATATTACATACCGATATATATTACAGTATATATATCCGTTATATAACATAACGAATAGCAAACACACACTTTCATTAAAATAATGCAAATTTTCATGTTTCATTTTTATTAGACACACATAAAAATCTTAATTTATATGAAATGTTTGTTGTGTGTGTTTGTCAAAAAATGAAAAGCCCTTAAAATTGTTTGTTTTCTGACTATAAAACTCATTTAATTATTTGTTTGAATAATGTCTCGGCTTTTGTTACGCTCAACGGAGTAGTAATCCCTTTATATGTGCTGTAGTTTTGATCAAAAGAATTATTTAAATATTACTTAATATATGTATTCAAGTCATTCAAGTGAACACATAATGTTTAGGGAGAATCGGGAGCTCTCCAGTTGACTATCAAATAGTTTTATAATTTTAAAATCGAAATCCCATTCAAACGGAATTATATTCAAATACATAGATTTTTTTATATATGCCGTATAATGTATTATTTGTGTTCAGGAATTTATGAAAAGGGTACTCCAACTCGACTTTTATATATAATTGTGTAGTACATGGTTTGGTAGTATAACTGCAATATTAAAGTGGAGTTGGAGTACACTATTGGCGAATATTTATCAGATATACAGTATATAACATATAATATATGATTGTATATACAGAATATTCCGTACAGAATATATATATTCAACACACAATATATATATATATTTTTAAGAAGATTTTTTTGCTACTCAACAATAAATCGATTTTCAAAATGCTTTTTGTGAATCAATTCCACACAATATAATCGCCGTATAATAGTGACGGTGCCGATGCCTATCATCATCGTGTATAATGGGCTCACATACAAAAAAACTAAATTTTCATACATAATACCAATATTATATTAAAATCAATTCATATGTATATATGTATATATATATTTTGCTAATGCATTTACATATTTTTTCCCCATAAACGCCTATTGTTAAAGTCTCCATAAGCGTATAATCATATCTATGTAGATATACATACAGTAATAATATATTATAGATTTAGATATTGTCATTCAAGTGTACACATAATGTTTAGGGAGAATAGGGATAGCTCTCCAGTTGACTATCAAATAGTTTTATAATTTTAAAATCGAAATCCCATTCAAACGGAATTATATTCAAATACATAGATTTTTTATATATGCCGTATAATGTATTATTTGTGTTCAGGAATTTATGAAAAGGGTACTCCAACTCGACTTTTATATATAATTGTGTAGTACATGGTTTGGTAGTATAACTGCAGTATTAAAGTGGAGTTGGAGTACACTATTGGCGAATATTTATCAGATATACAGTATATAACATGTAATATATGATTGTATATACAGAATATTCCGTACATAATATATATATATTCAGCACACAATATATATATATATTTTTAAGAAGATTTTTTTGCTACTCAACAATAAATCGATTTTCAAAATGCTTTTTGTGAATCAATTCCACACAATATAATCGCCGTATAATAGTGACGGTGCCGGTGCCTATCATCATCGTGTATAATGGGCTCACACATAAAAAAAACTAAATTTTCATACATAATACCAATATTATATTAAAATCAATTCATATGTATATATATGATATATATTTTGCTAATGCATTTACATATTTTTTCCCCATAAACGCCTATTGTTAAAGTCTCCATAAGCGTATAATCATATCTATGTAGATATACATACAGTAATAATATATTATAGATTTAGATATATATCTAAGTTATATAAGATATATCTAATCAAATATTTATTGCCACAGACTTTGTATAAGTGCTATATTGAAACAAAAGGCTATACCTATTATTTGTTATACTAGCATGCAATTGTCGTGTTATTAATGAATGTCTTTATTATATATATACTGTATATATATACATACGAGACATACAATCAATTGAAATACAATATTAACACGATTAGACAGATAGCGAAAAAAATAAGAAAGGTTAGATTAGACCATAGATATAACCAGTACTGACCGACTCGTATGACATCTGGGAGGCCATGGATTTGTGTGACGATAATCTCGCAAATCAAAGCCAACAGCAAGTGATAGTAAAATGTAGTCATTGATGGTGTGGTTGTAGTCTGCGGTCGACCAGAATATTCACGTATTTATGCATTCGTGTCGATCGGTGTCTAAACGCTGACATGACTTATGTGTTAATATAATTTATATATCATATATACTACTATTATATAATATAATCATATATGATATATGGATGTATGAAAAATGCAAATGAATATCTCATTCGCTAATTAACGCGATGATAGCGATCGGGCGCTGAAATGGTGGCGCTTTCTCACCACCACTGACTACTGGGTGCTGTCAGTAAATCTGGTGGACAGGCACACACCACCGCACACATACAGCACAGAATAATACACACGGATTCTGTAGCACAGCATATATGTGATCATGATTTTCGCACATTTACTACTCGAGTAGTACAACATCAACAACACATACACTACTGACTGGCAGTCAGCCGCTGAATACTACATCCAATTCATGCCATTAGTTGGCTGTTGTATATATCACTGTTGGCACAGACATACACAGGACTGGCTGTGTATTGAACTCAATCCGTGATATTCAGGCACAAGTGCACCGCTGATGACGGATTCCCACATCGGTGGCCAGTATTATGGATAATATTCAGACAATTTTGTCTGAATATTATACGTAAATATTTGTGATATTTATCCAAACGGCTGGTTAAGTCACGCGTGTAAGCCTACGCTAATCTACGGGTAGGACTCAATTAAGCAGGGTATATTGTACATGAGTTTACGGATAAAATATTTATTCAGACATTGGTTTTCGGTTTTTGACCATAACTTTAACGCAAAAATAATTTTTATATTATTTTTAAAACAATATTAACTGCAATTCACTAATACATACGAAAAACTAATTACACGTAGCTAGGCAATTTTTATGACATTCATTTAATACTCAAATATACGGTAAGGGATGTGAAGCCGGAGTGCACGAATACTGAGGCCTTTATGGCGAGAATGTATTGATCCCTTTCCTACGAGGGGAAAGAGATGGCGAGAAAGCGAGAGAGAGAGAGAGAGAGAGAGAGAGAGAGAGAGAGAGAGAAAGCACTCGTAGTCTCTCATAGCAACGCATCCGATATGATCTGCACATCACTTCACGACTAGAAAACACAATACAATGCGAACCATATTTTCTCGTCGGGTGTGAAACACGTCTTCTCTCTCCTAAACACTAACACCGAAAGTATAGCCAATATTTTCCTTATCTCTTGAGTTTTTTTTCATACATCATATGAGAGATGAAAAGCGCGAACCGAAAATTTTAATTCAATAATCTTATGCACTGGTAGTCGATAGGGAAAGTCTAGTTTTTGTGATAATATTTTTTAATTTACTAGCGATTAGCGTACGCATCGGTGGGCATATTGTTTGGGCATAAAAAACACCAGTTTTTTGTTACGTGTGTATGTATTGTGAGTGAATAGAGAGAGAAAACATAAGCAAAATAAACAAGATAAAAAATATGCTAACCTATGCTAACATTCCGTAAATTATTAGCTCAAGTATTCAGTTTCTCAACGCTAGTGTAAAAATATAATACACATACAAAAAACGACAACTAATTGTTTGATTGATTGAATTTTGCTTTAGAGAGCTATTCAATGCCCTTAAGTTAATATCCCGTTTATTGTTATTTATATATATACTGTATATACAGCCAGGCAATATTATATATACACCATTTACTTCGTAGTACTGTATAATACTGTATACTAGCATATAATTTATATATATATAAATCGCTTAAGAGTTTTTGATACAAATTTTGCAAATTAGTCTCACAATGAGAATATACGTGTGTATATAAAATGCAATCATTTTGTTAGATCAACAATAAAAGTCTCTCTCTCTCTCTCATCCCATTCCTCCCACTCCTTAATGTCTGTGACTGTAAATCAAACTTCAAAAACGCATACCATTTATATGAAGAGCTATAATAAAAATTTTGTTTCACTTAATGTTTATCCTTATTATAAATAAGTCTATAAATTTCGAAATACATGTTAGCATTGTTTCCCATTTAAACCCACTCTCTCTCTCTCTCTCTCTCTCTCTCTCTCTCTCATATTCTTGCCTAACGTTAAGTTTTAAGTTAAAAGTAAAAATAAGTACAAATATTTTACTCCCAATTTCTTGAAGTATATTCATTGGAGCGCAAGTACAGCGAAAAACATTACATATAATGCATACAAAGCGCTGCCAAACAAAACCATTTTTATTCACTGAACCAAACGATAGGCGCTGAGAGAAAATATATATAAATATTTTTAGTGAACATCTCTTTGAATAAACAAAAGTCTGTTGAAAACTCGTATAATAGTCTATAGAAATGTTAGAAATGTGTGGAGATAACAAACCTCTTGTAGTGGGTATAAAGGAGCGAGATTAAAAATTCAATTGACATTCAAATGAGTGAATAAATATTTGACTTTTATTCTGGCGTTTGAATATAATTATTATATAGAAATTAGGCTCTTAATAGTAGTTTTAATATTTTTTGTTTTTTAGGTAGGCCTACACACACACATAATGTTTTTGTGATTTGCATTTAAAATGATTTTATAAAATGTTAAGCCTTTAAACATTAAGAGATATATAGTGTGTATAGTAGCATGTTATACAGTATACTGTATATAATATAATGGATCACTTTTTTCTCATATTAAAACTCCCAGAGATTCAAAAGTTTCAAAATGTTTTTTTTATATATACTCCACGTCCTAAAGTAAACAAAACTATTAATACAAATGTGTGTTCACTAAAGCAAAGGTAAATTACATACTAGTGTCTCATATAGTACAGTAAATATATATATATTATATATTTTTTTTTATATATACTCCACGTCCTAAAGTAAACAAAACTATTAATACAAATGTGTGTTCACTAAAGCAAAGGTAAATTACATACTAGTGTCTCATATAGTACAGTAAATATATATATATTATATATACAGTATAGAGTGTATAAGTTTTATAGCTTAGTTGTTAAGTGTATTAAATTGGTATCACTAAAAGCACCCGTGTCCATTAGTCTCTACCACATCTCGCACTTGACGCCTGGATTCATGGCACTGCCTACTGGACAGTCAAACGCGTGGGAAAAGTCAGCAAAGTTGGAGAGAGCGCCGTTCACTCTGTACTTCTCGGGCGAGTGGACTCCCCTTAAGATCTTAATTCTCACTTGAGTTGGGGTTATATAACGGCACCACTTCTGCGGGTCATAAATCACACATAAAACTACATTTAGACTCCCGTTCCCCATAATATATATCACTTAAGGTATTAGGGGGAAAAAGGCTGTCCACAGCCACATACCTGTGCGTATGATAGGAAAAATAGCTGCTGCGGCGTGTATTGCGAAAAGTTTGGCAATAGTTTGATGTCGTTATAGATTTTGTTGAGGTTTTGGGTGACTATGCGATTGAATGCATTGAATGATGCCTTAAGACCGGCGATGTCGCCGATGTCCTCCTCGAAGGTCTTCATGCCATCCAACTAATAGTCATACGACATGTATTGATTTCCCATAACATGGAGTTCCCCCAGACATGCATATCATAAATATATAATATTCAATCAATTTATTTAATATCAGCCAAATTTCATATCGTATATTATATATAGATTTTTATTACCACTATATGTATTATACTAGTGAATAGGGGAAAGTTATGTTTTATTAATGACACGACATTTATATGTCTTAGTTGGGGGACAGGAATGGTAGGCTGTTTTTTATGTCTTATCAAGGGGAACTGGTAGGCAATTCATATTTTAATGGAGGACTTGTATGATTTTTATGTCTTATTGAGGGGAATGGTATACTGTTTATGTCTTAGAGGGGAATAGTAGGCTGTTATGTCTTAGTGGTAAGGGGACTGGTAGGTGGACATACATTCATATGGATGGACTGGTCAAAGTAGGCGCTGTACTGGTCGACGAAGCACTTGGCTTTCGACAGGAATATCTGGATATTGGTGTCGTTCCAGGGGTACAGTAGCCTCTCATCGGCGTTATAGCGAGGCATCGATGCGTGTGATATCTCGTGGCCCACAAAGGATCCAATTGATCCGTAGTTGATGTATCTGTTACCCGGGTATAGTCGACACATATCGAGAGAGAGAGAGAGAGAGAGAGAAACATTCAATTATTAGACACTTTTTGGTGTTACTTATGATTGTATTATCGATATTGCAATCAAAAAGTCAATGAATGAGTAGTCTATGGGTTATGAGACATACGCCGGTCTTTTGCTGTCATAGAAAGGCGGGTGAAGTAAACCAATGGGTATTGCTTTCCGTATGAAAGGGAAATGGATATACAATTAGAGAGTGTAATGATCATTTTCATATATACATGTTTGGTGTCTTATTAGCTAGGTCTAATTAGACAGTTGACGTGTGTTGTATGTGTAGCTTACTAATTAAATTGTCAATTATGTCGTACGAGGCGCCGACACACAGGGGTGACTGATCCCACTCCACCGACTTGTTCACCCGTTTCCCCACACTTAAGAGGTATTTGCGGGCAGAATATGTCCACAAATTAATGTAATCGTGAGATAATTGGCGTTGGCTTTCATTCAATGGCGAGCTTAATGACTGTGACAAAATGTGTGCGTGAATTAATTATCATGATCATACGCGTACACAATAGCAGCAACAACAAAAAATAAATATAATATGTTATATATTAATATGCAAGCATGAATTGTTAGCGTAATATGCTAGTAAGTGTATGCTATGGTATGTATAGTATTATATATGTCAATTAGATAATATATTAACGTGTATATATAATATATCGTATTATCGACTCTATTCATGAATATACGCGAGAATATGTGTGAATATATGAGAATATATGGGAATATTGTGAATATATATGTGAATATTCTGCGATAATATTGTGCATATTCT